ATTAAAATAAAAAGTTTTATATGTAGCAACGATCGATAATTATTTCTGATCAGTTTTACTAATTATAGTTATTACTTTATGGAGTAACCCAGAGCAACCCGGAGCAACCCACGGAGTACCAGTGATACATTTAACCCGAGTTAGGTTGAGTTGATTATTGCTCCACTATAATATGAACTCAACCCAACCCATTATGTTCTATTAATAATCCTAGATATTATAGAAAGAAGTTGTAATAAAAAAAAATTTACAGATTTTGTTCTTTCACAAGTGGTAAGTAAATTATCTAATGTTAGTCGTGCTGATGTTAATTGAAGATATCTATTATCTTCAATATAACAAGGAGTAATATATATATCACATTAATATTTACTCAAATTTCTGTAATTATTTGTGCCTGTTCAAATTCTGTTTTATTCAACTGAGATTCCTTAAGTATTCAAGATTTTTTAATTTTTTTTTGATTTTTTTTGAATTCCCTCATCTGAGCTACTTATCTTATTATTATTAATCTATTAATAATAAAGTAAATAATTTATTAAAAATTGTATAAATAATAAATAAATAAAATTATTGATAAAATTAAAAAAATAAAATAAATAATATACTCTACTTACTGGTATATTTTTCTTATGATTATGTTCAAAATTATTAGATTTATATTAATATTTATATAAATTACCATATGTTGTGATTCAGATAAACTCTTGTATTTTTCAAAAAATGTCACAAAATCATCTTCATCATCTAAAACTATTATTTGTTCATGACCATTTGCCTTATATGTAACAGTATAATTATCTTTGCTAATTGGATTTTCAATATTTTTATTCAAATATTCTAATAAATTTTCATAGAATAATATAGAATTCTGTACATTAAGTTTTATCTATTTTCCTGGTGAACTTTCATTATTCTTTTTTATAATAATTTGAACATTAATTTATGTGATAATTTTTTTGTTTTGAGTACTTGCTTGAAAAGTTTTTTTTGTCTTTTTAGTTTTAGAGCATTCATATTTCAAATTACATGTAGAACAGAAACTAATACCAAACTCAGTACTGAAATTTTACTTATATCCAAATTTTTCATTTGCTTCTTTAAGAAAAGTAAGTTGTACTAGAGATAGTGTACTTGAAACATGATGATTATATATTTGGTAACCTTTTTTTGTATGGTCAACATTTGCATCTGAACGTAAAGATTTTTTAGTTATGTCACAATTACATATTTCTTGTAATAGGTCTATAAAACAGTATAAACATTTTTGACAATTGAAACAAGTGCCAATTTGATATAATGAAGACATATGAATAGAAAAGAACATGAAACTCATGAAATGCGATGTGCATATTGAAACTATAATTTTTTTATAATAAAATTTAATTATTTTATTGGTTAATATTTATCACATGATGATCATGTATTCATGATTTCAGTTTTCGAAAAATAAATTTTTATTTTAATTAATCAATTGTTGACCAGACCATTTCAAAAATAGCAATAATTAAAATAAATAATAGATTTTGAATAAATCTCAAAAGTTAAATATCTCAAAAATTTAAAATCAATTTTGAAAACATATATAAGTATAATCTGATAAATTCTAACTTTAATAATTATATATAGGAATAAAATAATATTGAAAAAATGACTTGAGATATATTTATTACATGTTAGATATTTTAAAAAAAAGTTATTTATATAAGAAAATTTTTTAATCTAGATCTCTCCAGTTTAAGATATTACTTTAGATCCAGGGACATCAGGAAATTTTAATAAGCAAAAATTTTCAAAAAATTGAATATACAAATTTTGTATATGATTTTCATAAAATTTTTTTTTAAATTATGATAACTCTGTAATATCAATTCTACCAGAATAATTTATATACCATTTTGTATCCAAAAACTAGACCTTTTTTTCTATCATAGAAACATCTTATCAGAAAATTATTCTGCTCTATAAATTATAAGCAAAGTTGAAAAATATAAAAAATATGAAAATTTTTGAAGATTTTATATTTTTTATGATTTATAATATATAAAATGATTTTCTACTAAGATAATTCTAATATAGAAAGAAAGGCTTAGTTCTTGGCTACAAAATTGTATGTATTTCATCCTGGTAGCATTGATATTCATGGAGTTATTATAGTTTAAAGAAAAATGTCTGTGAGTAAATCTTCAAGAAATTTTTGTATAATTTTTTTCACAGATATTTTTCTTTAAACTGCAATAACTCCGAGAATATCACAGCTACTGGGATGAAACACATATCATTTTGTAGTCAAGAACAAGGCCTTTCTTTCTATCTTAGAAATATCTTGGTAGAAAATCGCTCTACGTTTCACGGTGATAAATACACTACCCCTGAAGAACCCTAAATCCTGAAAAAACCTAACCCATGCATTACATGGGATAAGAATCTAAATCCCGGCACTCTGCATACTACGCACTGCGGGTGTTGCGGTTATTACGTATTTCGTACTTCACTGTCTCAAAAAACGATATCTTTGCAAAAATTTTTGGTAAGATATGAAAACTCTTTTGCAAATTTCAAAGTGTCCAATAAATACTAAATATTTGAATAGTTTTTATTTGTTTTATAAATTAAGCATGTCAGAAAATCAGCCTCGTAAAGAAACTATTGAAAAGCAACAAATGACAGAAACTACTGAAAAGCAACAAATGACAAAAGCTTCAACAACTCTTCCAGACGTAGAAACGCTTTCGTCTCTAACTAGTGTACCATATGTCGATACACATACACATTTACACTATGTTCTTGATCGTCTTCCAGAAAAATTCGGTGTTTACACTTATCAGGATCTCAAAGAACGCTATTGTCCACCCAACCTAGAAGCTTGTATCAATGTTTTATGTGATCCAATGTCTTTCACTAGTGACGAAATATTCCCTAATACACATTCTGATTGGAAAGTTATGGCAAGCACATCTTTCATATATCTTGCAGCAGGGGTTCATCCACACAATTCAAAGGATTATAATGATTATATTGAAAGTAAAATGCGTAAAATTCTTCAACATTCGAAAACTGTCGCGCTGGGAGAAATAGGATTAGATTATCATTATAACATTTCGCCTCGAGATGTTCAAAAAAAGGTTTTTATTAAGCAAATAGAACTGGCCAAAGAATTGAACAAACCCCTTGTAATTCATACACGTGAAGCAGAACAGGATACCTTTGATATTTTAATTAAACACGTTCCCAAGGATTGGAAGATTCATGTGCATTGTTTTACTGATTCACCACAATTCGCGAAAATTTTGTTGGATAATTTTCCAAACCTTTACATTGGAATTACAGGAGTTGTAACTTTTGGATCTGCCAGAAATACACAAGAAACAATTAGATCTGTTGTACCTTTTAATAGATTTTTATTAGAAACGGATGCTCCATACATGATACCATCTAAACTCAATAGAAACAAGAAATCGAAAGACAAAGTTACCATATGTCATTCAGGAATGATTCCCTTTGTGGCTCAAAGAATTTCTGAACTTATGAATAAGGATATTGATGAAGTGATGCAAGCTGCCAGAGAAAATACGAGAAATATGTATGGTGTATAAAAAAAAACACGGAATTGTTTATATAGAATTTATATCAAAAAAAAAAATAATAAAGATTATGGAAAAAAAATAGGTGGATCGACTATTAGGATAATAGATTTCTATAGAAAATCATCTATTAGACTTTATTATGTCTTTTATATAGTATCCTTTAATTTAAAAAAGAAAAAAAATACAAAATTATTTTCCAAAATAGAAAAATTATTTATTCTGCAATTAAAATATCAATTATTTAATTATTTCTTATACTAGGAATAATTACTAGAAAGAAAAACAATTCAATATTAGTTTTTTTTTTATTATATTATTATAAAATTTTTTTATATTCGGCAAAGAAAAATTTTCTATTTAAAATAATTATCAAACCTAATTTTGACTCACAGAGGAATTGGAATTGCTCTATCAGCGTAAAATTCAGTTAGTTCTGGAGAGTTAGGTAATGAATCAATATCAAAATCATCACCCGATGCCTAATTCAATATATAGAATCGAAAATCAGTAGAAAAATATTTTTATTAAAATAAACAAATTCAGTTCTATTTGTGACATATTTTCGACATACAACTAACGCAGCCCAACGTTTATATAATTTTTCTGAGAGAATAAAATGTCGACCACCGTCCAATAGAACGCATCCTTCGTAATGATAATGACAATATTTCGAATATTTGCTTTTTAAACTCGCATATGCGATTTCATATCGAGATTTAAAGCTTTCTGGTTCTTCCTGTATTATAAAATTATTACCAAAAATTACTATCAAATAATTGGGTCAAATAATAAACAAATCATTAACGTTAACCCGAAAATAATGATATAAATTAAAAATACATACATCATCATTAAACATTGTTTCTTGTATATAATGTACTTCTTGATATCTTTTGCGCACTTAAATTTGGATCATTGAAATAAAAAATTAATATTGATTTATATAAAATGGATTGAATTTAAATAATTTAAATAGAATTTTACTTTTCGGAGGAACATAATCTTCGTCGTCATCTTCAGATTCTGACCCTACAATCATTGCATCAAATTTTTCTCCTCCGGATTTAGATTCCGACGATTCGTCCTCTGGTGAGTCAGATGAATCATCATTACCTTCATATGAATCATCTAACAATAAGAACATGAATGTGAAAATATTATATTTATACTAATAATTCGCATTTTTCTCACCATCTAATGGAGTTGACGTCGACAAGGTTTCTTTATTTCCACTCATAACATCATCTAAGAATGGAATGGAAGAAAATGTATTGGGAAATTCAAGATTTGCTAGATTTGCTAGGTTTACATCAGAAGTAATCATAGAGTTGATAGAATTGATAGAATTGATGGAATTGATAGAATTGACAGAATTGACAGAATTGACAGAATTGATGGAATTGATAGAATTGATAGAATTGATAGAATTGTTCGGTTGTATTGCTTCAACTACGACCGGAATTCTTACATTCGTTGATACTTCTGTATATCTATTCTCAGTATTGACGTTATATATTTGTTCTATGTGCTTATTTTCTTTATCTTTTGGATAAGAATTTCCAAAAGAAGAAATTTCTTTATCATTTTTTAATTTATTTTCTGTTTTAACTTGATTCAACAATTTAGTTACGTCAGGATGTTTGCAGATAATATCCCAATTTTTATTCATAAATAATTTTTCATGATATCTCTTTAGACCATTAATATACCACTCAATGCTTTTTGGATTATTAGTTGCCATTTTTACGCGAATATAATTACATAGATTTGTTGATGAAATTGGAAACAAAGAATTGTCCGGATTTTTCCATCCTTTTTGTTCAGCCAGTAAGATATATGATCTAGACACTGTTTCTCCGTACTCCTTTTTTTTTTTAATTTCAGTTGAATCTGTCGAAACATCAGATATTTCGTCCTTGTTATAATTAGATGCAATAATTTTTTGTGATAAATTTTGTGTTGAAGGGTCAAGTAATTCCGGAACATTAGGAACTGTAGCCACTTCTGCTGCCATATTTTCAGTTTTGATTGTAATAGGCGGAATCGTCGTAGAGGTTGAGGCAGTTATTAAACTTTGTTCATCGATTGCAGATGCTTGTTGACTCAAAGAATTTGTATCAGAATAGTTTTGCATTTTTAGATTTTTTTTTTTTTTTTACATATCACAATTCATAATTCACCCTTAGAGAGACAATTATTCGTGCGACCATAAATTAA